TCAGGTTTCTCCTCTTGCCTGGTTGGTGGCACAGCTGTTATATAAGTCCTAAATGGCACTTGCCCTCTCTTGGCTAGTTACAGGACACTGGTGCTGGGTGGTCAGGGAGAGAGAAACATGACTCCATTTTTCCCCTCTAGGTTGGCTCTCATTTCTGGTGGACTTCTGGGGACTAGGAATTTCAAAAGTCAGTAGCAGCTTGGGTCTTGGACCTTTTTTCAGAAACTACGCAAATTCTACCGGCTCAGGTGAAATCAACCCACGTGGGTATGTGATAGCGCCTGAGTGAATCCTTAGGAAACAGTATATTCCAACTTAGAGAAAGAATAAAGCAACTGGATCTCATTCTTAAGGCACAACAGGATGCCTTCAGAATCCAACTGGATGAGAGCTTATCTCAGTCCTGCAGCTAAGTATAGTTTGGGGGCTAAAAATCCAAGCTCATGAAGCCACATGTGGATAGGGTGTGCGTCAACACATGGCAGATAGCAGCACATGGTGGGGGTGCATGTGAGTGGGCAGTAGAGCTTGTTAAAGAGGGAAAACATGGTGTGTCCTCAGTTTATAAAAACCTGTGTCAGGGATAATGAATCTGGTGAGATCTAATCTACTCCTTGAGATGAGCACTAATCTCTATCAAGCGTGGTGTAACCATGACCCAGTTAACCCCCCTAGACCCTGTCTCTTAAAGGTTCTACCATCTCTTTTTTTTTTTTTTTTTTGACAGGCAGAGTGGACAGTGAGAGAGAGAGACAGAGAGATAGGTCTTCCTTTGCCGTTTGTTCACCCTCCAATGGCAGCCATGGCCAGCGCACCGCGCTGATCCGATGGCAGGAGCCAGGTGCTTCTCCTGGTCTCCCATGCGGGTGAAGGGCCCAAGGACCTGGGCCATCCTCCATTGTACTCCCGGGCCACAGCAGAGAGCTGGCTTGGAAGAGGAGCAACCGGGACAGAATCCGGAGCCCTGACTGGGACTAGAACCCGGTGTGCCGGCGCCGCAAGGCAGAGGATTAGCCTAGTGAGCCACAGCGCCGGCCTTCTACCATCTCTTAACACTGTTAAACTGGGGACCAGGCCTCCAGCACACAAACCTTTGAGACAATAAACCACAGCAGATCCTCTCTTATAGATTTCTTATTATTTGGAGTACACTTCAGAGTTGGGAGAGACCTTGTGCAAGGCAAAGTTTCACGAAACTTCTGAGAAGTCACTGGATGATGCTCTAGGGCACATGAATGCCAACTGTTCCTTATCTATTCAATGAGGTCTAACATAGCAATTGTCAATGGATCAACTGGAATTAAGTGCAAACTCTTATAAAGAAAAACAGATTACTTTTTAATTATAAGGACTCAAGAAGACTTCATTATTTATTAAGTTCTTTTTTTAAATCACAGTTGGAATTGCAAATCCTTGGCATTAGACAGTGACCCTTATCCTTAAAGGGATCAAATTATACTAACTCCAAAGGGTCTCTAAGAGCTCCAGGGGGGTAATCCCTGTCAAAAGACAAAGATCTTAAAAATCTGTTTCCATCTTTCATCTAAAGCATATTATACAAATTCTATCTGCACCCTAAATCCTGGCAGCAACATACAAAGTTTCGCTTTCACAGAAGGATTTTCTTGGCATCAGTTTGATGAGGAACTGATCAGAAATGGAAGCTGGCCAGCTAGGAATGTCAGACTACAGAAACACTAGTTGTATGGATGGCCAAATCTATCATTAGTCTATGACCATATGTTCACGGAAAGATCACTCTGTGCAAATTTTAGAACAACATATAATTACAGGAAAGTATTTGGTGGATCTGAGTGAGGATGAACAGTTCAGGGTATACTTCAAATATGCTTTAGAATTCAAATACTCTAATATGAATGATACAATTACAAAAACAATGACAGCACAAATAACATTCTCTCAGGCTAGTGGGTTGAATTAGCGCATTTAATTGATGCTTAGATGGACACTACAAATGGCTAGGATATAAGGCATACTGTGAAGCAGAGGAAGTAGGGAAAGTAGAGAAGGCAGGAGGAAACAAACAAGAAGGGAGGCAGCAAAGACTACACACTTGCTGCTAGGTTATACCCCATTTCTTTGTTACTCTTTGCAATAAAACTCCTTAAAAAAGAAGTCTATAGGTACTTGCTGTTTTCTTTTTTTTTTAAAGGTCTATTTATTATTTGAAAGGCAAAGTTACACAGAGAGAAAAGGAGAGGTAGAGAGAGAGAGCTTCTATCTGCTGGTTTACCCCCTAAGTGGCCCCAGTGGGCAGCTTGAAGCCAGGAGCTTCTTCCAGGTTTCCCACAGGGGTGCAGGGGCCCAAACACTTGGATCATATCTGCTGTGTTCCCAGGTGCCTTATCAGAGAGCTGCACTGGAAGTGCAGCAGCTGGGACTTGAACAGGCACCCATATGGGATGCTGGTGTTGCAGGCTCTGGTACTTGCTATTTTCAACCCCTATCTTTTCATTATCTCACACTCTTATCGGGGTCTACCTGTTTGAATTAAACTCAATGATTACTGGCTAATTCCAAATACAATCCTCAGCTTCACTTGACCATCACCAACATCTGATTTAGCTTAGTCCCTTCATCTCAGCCTTGGTAGTACCTTCATTAGGTCTTGGTTTCCACCTTGTGAACACTGAGTCTCAGTCTCTTCCACTCCTTCTTCCTCTTTTCCCAACCTTTTAATGTTGAAGAGTCCAAGGACAGTCCTTGGGTCCCTCATTTTACTGCCTATATTCTCATTTTCATTAGTTTCCTTCAGTCTATAGCTTCAGATATCTATGCCAATCATTCTCAGATTACCTCACAAACCCAGGCTTCTATCTCAAACTTCACATATGTATTTAACTGTCTCCTTGATATTTTTTTGGACATCATAGACTTAGGAAGTCCAAAACTGGACTGTTGATCTTCTCCCCTCAAGACACCCCAATGGGTCCCCATTTCAATCAGATTAACAGCCTCACACTGGCATACAACACTGTATATACTCTTCCTCTATTTCTCTTTCTTGATCACACCACTCTAACAATCACTGCCAGCACCTCCTCAACTTTAAGTGCTTGTAATGAGCGGAGGGCATCTGGCCTGGTGGTTAAAACGCCTACATCCCACACCAGAGTTCCTGGGGGTTCAAGTGCATCTCTGTTTCATATTTCAGCTCCCTGCCAGTTTGAATCCTAGATGGCACCAGATGATGGTCCAAGTACTTGAGTCCATACTACCCCCATGGGAGATGAAGATTGGATTCCTAGCTCCTGGCTTTGGCATGAACCAGCTCAGGGTATTGCAGGCATTTGGGGAGTCAACCAGCAGATGAAAGATTTTTGTCTATCTGACTCTCAAATAATAAAAAAGAAAAAGAAAAAGAAAAAAAATCATATAATGAAATAACTGACAATTTGTAGTGACTCTTCCTTCTATCTGGAATCCTCTCCCCTGCAGATCTCCAATGGCTAATTCCTCACCTCCTACTTAGTGTTACTCAAATGTTACCTTTTCACTGTGGCTGGCCATAACCACCCTTCCTAAAATAGGTTTTGTCCCAAGACTCGCAATTTCCCTTACTCTGTGGTATATTTTTCCCAAAGTATTTATCACTTTATAACTTAGTACAGAAGTTTCTTATTTATAATTTTATTGTTTTTCTTACCTCACTCCCTGCAAGAAATTAAGCTCACAAAGGGCTATAGTCTGAATGGTTTGGTCCCCTGCCACATAAAACAGGATCATCTATGGGGAATGAGCCCTTATCAGCACCAAATCTGCTGGTGCCTTGATCTTGAACTTTCCAGCCTCCAGAACTGTGAGCAACAAATTCCTGTTGCTTGTAAGTCAGCCATTCTGAGTCATTTGGAGATAGCAGCCTGCATGGAGTAAGATACAGGGCAGGGGCATTCAGCTATGCTGTTACTGTTTCTTTCTTGCACCTGCAAGTGACCCAGCCCACTAGATGCTTGTTGAATGAATGAGGTAAGAGTAAGGAAAACAGAGAGCAAGGCAAGAAGCAGTTAATAACAAAGGATGGTTCTAGATGATAACCAGGCTTAGAAAAGAGTGTGGTAGAACTGCATAGAAATAAACAACAAGAGTCACTGTGCACTAACTTCCCAGGCAGGACCTCTCTCCCCAAAGAGTTGCATCATGAGACTTAATAGTAAAACTTGTTCTCAAGAATCACTTCCTTTTTGTGTCTTAAATGGAGGATATTATTATGTCTCATGAGTTATAGTTCTAAGAGCTTACAAAAGATGTATCACTCTTGGGTTCTTCTTTAAAGATAATTAAGTTTCTAAAAGGAAGGGGGAGGAAGCAAGGGAAAAGAGGAAGGGGTAAAAAAGCGGAATCACCTTTGAGAAGCAACAGCACTGCACAGCCCTTGTCTAGACTGTTGAGGAACAGTTTTCTTATTTTGTTTTTTTCTTTTTCTTTCTCAGACTAAACAGGGGAGGGAGGAGGGAGAGGGGTGGGAGGACGGTGGGAAGAATTACATTTCTAATGTTGTATTTATGAGATACATACAAATAATAATAATAATAATAAAAGGACTGTATAGAAGACAAGAAATTATCCAGTAACACGTAATCCAAGGACACAGTCTGAAGTCCCTGGGCACCTATAGATCACAGGAAAGAATGCAGGCCATGCAGACTGGACAGCCAGGCCTATGCTGTAAGTCTTTTGACCAAATAAATAGCCACAGGTTATTTACCCACTAAATAATGTGCCAAATGTCTAGAATATCCTTATGAAACATCCAATACTCATGTTGGCAGGAACCCTGGAGAAACCGTCAGCATTACCACACATATAAGATTAAGATCTAATATTTTCACAAAAGGACTTGGTAGAATATGGAAAAGCATTCAAAAGTGGAATTTGAGGACCAAAATTAGAAAACAATTTATACTCAGACTTGGATGACACCGAGATACACACTGCCACCCAATGAGTTCTGTGATTTTATGAAGACTGATGTTACATACCCATGTCCATCAAGCCGGATGTTTCCAACAAAGTCATAGAGATGTCTGTTTGGACTTTCACACTCAATTCTGCCAGAAATTCTCATCAAACTGTCAATGTCTTTGATATCTGAGGTTGCTGGCAATCCCTGTTTAGAAATATTTAAATAAGCAAAGGATATATTAAATAAGTTGTGTCAGGGGAAGAGTAGAAATTCAGAATTCATCCAAGTCTTAAGATCTAAGAGATCCCTCTGTTTTACAAGCAATTCTCACCCCTTACTCAGTACTCTTAATTAAGGGATACCTTCCTGCCCAATTTTAGCACAAGAATAGAATAGCTTCTATGAAAGACCAAAGGGACTACAGATTGCCACTTATAAACCTGCACTTACTATCCTTTCAGCGGAGATAATTTGAAGTCAGTCCTCCAAAAACCATTTGCTTTCAAAATTAAAAAGAATATTTAGCACTATATAGTCTATCTACTGAATCTAAAAACATGGATGAAAACAGAACAGAATCTATGTTCAAAGAGAGTAGTTTTCTTCCTTCCTTCCTTTCTTTTTTAAGACACCTAAGAAGGGAAACTCATAAAGAGTCCCTCCTGCTAAGTGCTGGCTCTCAGCACTCTGAGTTCGGGTTCTTGTTGGTGATCTGCTTCCACCCCAACCCAGTCATTCCACATTTTCATCATTCACCTGGAACCCACAAACCCACATTTTTTAAAAAGCCTCATTTAAAACTTTAGAAATAACAATCTTACAATTGTTTTCTACTAGGGATGATGTGAAAAAAATATGGAAATTTACACTATTTCCCTAGATGAATGAGAATGTTAGAACAGCAATGGAAACTACAGCTTTTCAAAATAGCAATGCCAAAGAATCTTTTTGGGCTAGGTGAACAGGGCAAATAAATCTGCTAACAGATGTCAAGGCATAGTAATTATTACCATCATTATTAATGACCAAAAATATTACAAGTATTATCTATATGATGGACTACACTCAATCAGGCAAGTAAGTCTGAGTCTTCTTTTTTTTTTTTTAACTTTTATTTAATGAATATAAATTTCCAAAGTACGATTTATGGATTACAATGGCTTCCCCCACATACCGTCCCTCCCACCCACAACCCTCCCCTTTCCCACTCCCTCTCCCCTTCCATTCGCATCAAGATTCATTTTCGATTATCTTAATATACAGAAGATCAGCTTAGTATACATTAAGTAAGGATTTCAACAGTTTGCTCCCACACAGAAACATAAAGTGAAAAATAATAGATGATTTTTTTTTAAATGATGATGAAATCAGATCAGACCTATTGTCATGTTTAATCCCAGTGAGAGTCAAGTTGGGAGTTGATAACTAACAATATCAGCTTATGAGACTTCTACATAGTGGCTCAATGACAAAATCCTGACAATTGGACAGAAATCAGTTCAACTCAAGAGAGTAACACCAAAAAACAAGTTATTAATTCCATGTAATAAACCAGCAATGATTACATAAGCCTCTATTACCTCTTACCTGTCTAATTTTCAAGTTTGTTTCACCATCTAAGTTGGAAGTTTCAATGTAACACATGGCCTGGGGCTCACTGTTGTTTAGAATGGAGAAGCACAAAGATTTAGTCGGAGAAGGAAAGATAATAGTAACAACTTACTTAACTGTTCAGACTCACCAGGAGCTTTCTTTTCTAGAAGCACCCATAGTCACCTAGCTTCTTGTTGATTTTCATTTTAACAGCAAGATGCTGGGAGACAGAACCCATGCATGACAATTCATGGATCAGCTTTTCAGCCAGAGGGACCCAAAAGCAATTCCCTGATAGCCACCAGTAATGATTTTTAAGATAATGTACATGAATAATTTGTCACCTTATATTTAAACTGATAACCCATATAGATGGAGATGACTGTATTTGATATGTAAACCAATTTTGTGTCCAGATGTATCTTATCTCAAAAATGTCAAGTGAGATTGCATGCTCAGGGGGCACATGTAAATTGGTTAAGGAAGTAGTTGATTAGACAGTTCCAGATTGCCACTTACAAACCTGCACTTACTATCCTTTCAGCTATGAAGACTAGGATCAATTTTAAAAGTTATATGAATAGATTTCCCAACGATAATGGATACATACTTTTCTTCTATATTATTAGTTCCTGCTCTATTTCTTCAAGTTGCTTGAGATTCATATTTACTTTTAATTAATATGCATTTAGAGTACAGTATAATATTTCAACACACGTATACAGTGTAAATTCACCAAATTAGGCAATCAACATTCCATTTCTTTATTTTCTGTAATTTTGAGGCCACCAGCTCTACTGTTCCCATTCTTCACAGTTTAGAATAACACTGTTGTGGACTACAGTCACCCCATTGCATTGTGAAGTACCAGAATGAATTACTGCTATCTGATTTTGCTTGGGTCCTCCTATCCAACCCCACCTGTTTCCTTCCCCCAGCCTTCCCAGCCACCTGAGATTCCTGTGGCAGCAAAAACTAAAACCAAAATCAGACAAATTGGCCATATTCCTCCTTGATCTGAACCTAGATGATCCACTTTATGGGTCCCAACCACAATGTTTGGTAAAATCTGATGTGCACCGACTGCTGGAAGTCTGTGTTATCCACTTTGATCATCGGTGCCATACCTGGGACAGTGTAATGTCCTTCCCATTCATACACTGACTTTACTGTCCCAGAAACTAGATGCACAGGAGTTTGTAGCCCAGCCGCATTCATTTGATCCTCAACTCTAAGGAAAAGCATTCTGAGGTTAAATCAATTGCCTTAGCACTTGGTTATGCAAGCTTAATTTACTACATGACTGATATGATGTACTCAAAGCTAGAGAGAAAACATTTTGTAAATCTCAAGCATCTGGAATTTTCTAATCAACTCCCAATTTGTACATGTGCAAAACAGACTATTTCAAATTTCAAAGTGAGCATTTGGTTCAATTTTGTGGCTGGAAGGTTTTTGAAATTCTTTTTTTTTTTTTTAAACACATGGACATTAATAAATTATTTTACAGATACATCTTGAAGGAACTTTGCAAGTTCTTCAATTTACTCTATGGCTTTCTTTCACAGAGACTGCCACTTTCCCCCAACTATTAGGGAAAAGTTTTGTTTCAGAATAAGGGTCACAATACTAATTTGTCTCTGGCAGCTGCTCCAAATTTGTAATTTACTTATATATGTGTTTAAAACACAAATGGTTTATGGAATTATAAAATACATCTTCTGATAATATAGATGATAAACAAAATGTTAAATGACAATGTTGATTCCATATTCTGGCAGTAAAATGCATTAAAATTTTACTGATCAATATACTTATCCAAGGCTAGTCTCATACTAATAACATTCTACCTGTTTTTCCTCATAAAGCAACTTTCCTTAGATTTTAAATAGCTAGAAAGTGAGGAAGTGTCAATGGCTGACTTCTCTTAGAAGTGGGGCAAATAAAACATGTATCCAAATTCAGAACATTCTTAATAATCACTTAAGACAGCTATGACTGAAGCAGTTCTTACAGTGCTCTGAAAAGGCAGCAAGAAGTCTCAGATAAGGAATCATGCTAGATCATAAATATTTCAGCAAATTATGATGACATCCAAAACACAAATCATAGTCAGAGAGGCAAAGCAGGCTTTTTGATTAGTAAGTGGAAAAATGAAACAAGATGCATATCACAATACAGACACTAGTACACAGCTGAAGTTTATCACAGGAACGTGCACTTTGTCACTAGTTACAAGTGGGATAAAAACTGATCCCGAAGCATGCAGTACAAAGTGTGGCACAACCAGCTTTGTGCAGGGGGTCCTCTGTAAACCCTATACAAGCCCAAATTACAGTCACAATCACTGGGAGGGTTCTATAGAACACATAGCAAATTTACAATATGTGAAGACAAGTCTGTTTAAAATCTAATTCATCTTCAATGACTACTCCATGAAAACCTTAATATTCAAAATGATATCCTGGAGAGGTAATAAAATTAGGCCTCACTATTCAGGCACTTTGTCACATAGGAATGTATATTCATGACACACAGGAAATTTGGATCTACCTTTCCTGGCATGTCTCTTAGACTCCTATTGAAAACAACAGGAGTTAAGTCTGCCCAACCAAGAGGCAATCATCATCCAACATAGTACTCACAAAATGTCTTTAAAACACTGTGACATGTCCATTACCAAGAAGTGCCAGAAAGTTCGTGTTTTAAAGAAACAGTCACAGAACAGAACCATATTTGGGTGCAACTGCTCTCAGTTTAGGGTGAGGACCCACATACACATCCTGTACAGCTCATGGTTCTAACCTGGAGGACAGACTGATGAGATCTGCTGGGAGATGCTCCCCATTGGTCACTTTCACTATTTCCCCCACTGCCACCTACACGTCCCAGTTTAAAATAATTAAAGTGGGGAAAAAATGAATAACATAGAAAGAAACAAACAAATGGACAAAAGAGACAGAGATTTTAAAATTATTATAGAAAATAATACATGTTAACAAAAAAGGTTTAATGCCAATTTTTCAAAATTTATTTTGATCAGGTCTGAAAGTATAATATCCAATATTTAAGAATTATTATTTGCCTTTAAGTGTAATTTTTAAATTTTTAATGCACAACTGAATTTTTAAGTTTCCTCACAAGCATCTCTTATCAAATGAAATATTTTTAAGAGACAGCTACTTTATTTTATTTTTTTTTTACAGGCAGAGTGGACAGTGAGAGAGAGAGACAGAGAGAAAGGTCTTCCTTTGCCGTTGGTTCACCCTCCAATGGCTGCCGAGCTGCGGCCGGCGCACCGCGCTGATCCGATGGCAGGAGCCAGGTACTTCTCCTGGTCTCCCAAGGGGTGCAGGGCCCAAGCACTTGGGCCATCCTCCACTGCACTCCCTGGCCACAGCAGAGAGCTGGCCTGGAAGAGGGGCAACCAGGACAGAATCCGGCGCCCCGACCGGGACTAGAACCCGGTGTGCCGGCGCCGCAAGGCGGAGGATTAGCCTAGTGAGCCTTGGCGCCGGCCAGCTACTTTATCTTATAGAGTTAATTTATCCAATTGCTCAACCTCATAACATCTACTGTATGCCTACTCATACCATGAAAAAAAAGGGAAAGAATTGTGGAATTTATTTCTGAGATTGAAAAACAAAACATACCATGCTAGTGCTCCCTTGCTCAATAAAAACGTAACTTTGTTAAAAATGTTCTGATTCCAAGGGCTGGCACTGTGGCGTACGGGTTAACTTGCTGCCAGCAGCGCCGGCGTCTCATATGGGCTCTGGTTCCAGTCCTGGCTGCTCCACTTCCAATCCAGTTTCCGGTTACTGCGCCTGGGAAAGCAGCGGAAGATGGCCCAAGTGCTTAGGAGACTCGGAAGAAGCTCCAGGCTCCTGGCTTCAGCCTGGCCCAGCCCCAGCTGTTGTGGCCACTTAGGGAGTGAACCAGCATATGGAAGACCTCTCTTCCTCTAACTGTGCCTTTCAAATAAATAAATAAAAACTTTATTAACTTTAACACAAAGCTGCAAAGGGCCAAACTGCAGCCTTTGGAGTTATTTAATACTTAATCAAGTAGGTAGAGCATTGTTTTATGTGGGTGAGCCTTTGAATCCACAGAGAATTTTTCAGAGTATATGAAGTAGACAAGCCATGAATCTATGTGGATTTAATAGACTGTGTTGTTTTATTCTATTTTTTATTTGAAAGGCAGAGTTACAGAGAGGCAGATGCAGAGAGAGAGAGAGAAAGAGGTTCTCCATCCTGTTTTATTCTCCCTTCAATACCTAAATATATTAATTGCTATATGCTAAAATTTAAGTTCATTGCAAAATGAAAGCTAACAGGGAACACAGTAACTTTCAACCATGTTCATGCTTTAATTCAAACTACCTCACAGAAGATGCACTATTAATAGTTTAAAAAATGGAAATCAAAATATAGTTATTTATTATTACTGCTAAATGGTGAGTATTTTACAGGTGAAAAATCCCTATGTATTTATTTTGACAATGGATGGTATGGAAAATATATTAGGGTCAGTCATAAGCTAAAGGTCAGTGGTTAAAAATAAGTACAAAATTTCTTTCTGTTAAATAATGATAAAATTATTATCTATTCCTTAAAGTTAATGTACATTCAAAATAACTAAGTAAATGGAAAAACATTTTGAAAAAGATAACTGAAAGTTGGCATCCACTATTTAGGTAAAATCAGTGAAACAAAATATTTGTAAAGTATCATACTCTTTGGAGGAATTTGATCACTGTATATGTTATATACTGTTCAGATCCATCAATATTGACATCCATCAGTAAATGTCTTTAATATTTAGAAAATATTCTTGTAAAAATTCTGTAAAGTCTGAGAAACATAAGCATGTGGCTTGCACGTTCCTAGGATTCAAGAGGCACAGATGCCGAATACTGGGAAAATTCTCAACTCAGAAGTCTGAAGTAAGGGCAAGACTGTCAATTATCACATTCTGGAGCAAACAAAAACAAACATTGTAATTAATGGTTCGGCATATTCAGCCTTCTCTTTTGACAATATCTCTAAGAGTTTAATCAGGAAAACATCAGTGCTTCCTTAAATCGCTAGAAAGCATTATGACCATTTGTAAATTTCTTGCATAAATGCAGCATTTTGAGGGTCAATCATCCTGAGTACAACAAAATGCATCTTACTCTATCAAGCACTCTAAAGCTTTTCAATTTAAACAAAAAGAAGAACTGGAGAATAATAGAGTTTGCTCAGTTAGTCCACCTTCCTCAATGAAAAAAATGCTAAGCCAAAGTTTGAGATATTAAATAGTTTGTTCAAAATCACTGACCCAGGACAAGAATCCTGGTTGTCTGCCTCTGAAGCAGAGTTCTATCCAGAATCTGATAACATCCAAAATCTGAGACAATGACAATAAACTCATGCTTAAACTAACTCTCATATAAACACTTAGCTTTGGTTCAGTTTTAGAAACATACCTAATAAAAGTTACAATGCAAAGAAACTAATCATAGAAAGGTTGATTATAAGATATCACTGTTAATTTTCCTGAAAAAACAAATAAACACATACCTATAGGTATGTGGCAGAAAATGCTAATCAAAAATATGGAAATAAAACTACTTACAGTTACTTCAACTGCTTGTAGACTTCATCTATAAATATCTAGATAACTCTTATTTGCTCAATTAGGTGTCACTAACATGTCATGAACCTAATCACTTTAAATCATGACCTGATTAAATAGATTTTGAAAAAAAGACATTGTTCATATTTTCATGTGGATTTTACAAATAAAACTGTCCAAGGAAATGATGATAAACAACCTCTAAAATCTTAAAAATATTTCTTCATAATTTATATTAGGAATAGTTTTACAGTTTTTAAACCTAAAACCATTTGAAAGTCACATTCTTTAAAGGGTAATGGTGACGTTTGTTCTGAACACTAATTCACACCTATCTTAAATATGAATAAACAAAAGTTTTCTAAATTCAATAACAGAAGGAACTTAAAAAGAAAGCACTTTATTTTTTGTTGGAAGAGTATGGCTTTTTAAAAGGAATGATGACAAAAAAGAAATTACTCATCCACTTTCCTATATACTTTGCCATAAGGATTAAGAAACTCTGCATGGGGTTGGTGCTGTGGCATAGTGAAAAGCCACTGTCTGCAATGTTGGCATGCCATATGGGCACTGGTTCAAGTCCCCGCTGCTCCACTTCTGATCTAGCTCCCTGCCAATGTGCCTGGGAAAGCAGCAGAAAATGGTCCAAGTGCTTGGGCCCTTGCACCCACGTGGGAGACCTGGAAGAAGCTCTTTGCTCCTGGCTTCAGATCAGCCCAACTTTGGATATTACAGCCATTTGGAGGGGTGAACCAGTGGATGAAAGATCTTGCCCTCTGTCTCTTTCTCTGTAATTTTGCCTTCCAAACAAACAAATAAATCTTTAAAAAAGAGAGAAAGAAACTCTGCAGGGATATTTGAATGCATTATAAAGGTATTTATGATGAAAAAGGATCAAAAGAAAAAAATCAATAGAACTCAATTCATGTTTTATATAAAATAAATGACAGGAAATCTTAAAAAGAGTTAGTGGTCTGTGCAAAATGGTCTGGATACACACAGAAGGAGAGCAGACTGTCAATTGTAATTATAAGTTGAATTATTTAGTACCTATCACTTATTCTATATGGCAAACATGAAAGAGCTCTTTAAGTCCAATTACTTTTAAGTGCTTAATTAAAAATCATTGCAGAGGTTTAAAGTTCTTCGTTTATTCCTTATTTCCTTGGAGAAATCACAAGGTCGATGCAGGGTAGAGAAACCATCCTCTACACTGTTTGAGCATCAGAAGGTATCTCTACCTTGATGAGAGAAGTACAGTGTCAGCAGGTATATACTCTTTGCCTTTTATTATAACTATATCTCCAACATTTACCTGAAAGAAAACTGGGAATCGGTTAATTATCTGCATTGAAAGATAGTTACAAATATACAACCCATTGTATTAAAGCATAGAATACAGTAAAAAATGGTTATCGGCAAATATGAAACACTTATCTGCACAAAATGGCATAAAATTACCTAGTAGTGAGGCCAGGGATGGGGGAGATCTTTTAAAAAAATGAATGCTGTATCTGCGTTTTATCGGCCATAAAACTTATCCTAATAAAGTTCTTTCATCCATTCTACCTGCGTAGTTGACATCTCAACTTCTCATATTCTTTTGTTTTGACATAATCATAAAAGGAAGAATTTACAAATTGAAATCTTTATATACTTTAAAAATAAACAGCCTCATCTCTTTATAATACTACTAGTTAACATATTTCTGATCATGGCATGAACAAAAATTAAAGATGCAGTAAGGTCAGAAGCTGGCTGATGCAAATGAAGTGCCAATTTGTCACACAGCTTTGCGGTAAACAGTACAACTCCAACTAAGGAATAACTAGCTCAACTGACTTGGCCAAGTCACCGCAAGAGCTACTCTTTTTTTTTTTTTTTTTTTTTTTTTTTGACAGGCAGAGTGGACAGTGAGAGAGAGAGAGAGAGAGAGAGAGAGAGAGAGAGAGAGAGAGAAAGGTCTTCCTTTTGCCGTTGGTTCACCCTCCAATGGCCGCCGCGGCAGGCGCATCACGCTGATCTGAAGCCAGGAGCCAGGTGCTTCTCCTGGTCTCCCATGGGGGTGCAGGGCCCAAGGACTTGGGCCATCCTCCACTGCACTCCCGGGCCACAGCAGAGGGAAGAGCCACTCTTGTTATATCATGAAGTTTGCCTTGTCTCTTAGCAGACAAATGAACCTAAAAGCAAGTTTCAATACTTTGTAGAGAAAAGCCTTTCTGTTCATCCCTTGTGATACTTTTTCTTGAACTCTAAA